TCTGGTAATTTTTAAGGGTTATCCTTGAAGATTATTATGTTCAAGTTTGAAGACAATCCATTCAAAAATGACAAAGTTATAGCCAATAATAGCCAAAACAAGAACTGTCGGAGGACAGTAACGCTCGACTATTCGAAAATTTGTCACAAGGGTGTTTCATTGAGTATAATAATACTTACCTATATGAATACATAAAATTGTCCGAAAAGGTACAAACTCTTCAAGTTTCAATACATTCCCTTCGGTAGTTATGGAGATACAAGCTTACATGCAAAAACTTAACCAAGAATTCATGAGCCGAAAAAGGGGCATAATTATGCAAAGAAGGAAATCAGAGTTATGGGACTTGTACCAATCATCTTAGATAATCACAGAGACCAAGTGTGTGAAGTTTCAATCCATTCCCTTCAGTAGTTATGGAGATACCAGCTTACACGCAAAAACTTAACCAAGAATTTCTAAGTCGAAAAAGGGGCATAATTATGTAAAAAAGCAAATCAGAGTTATGGGACTTGTGCCAATCATCTTAGATAATCACAGAGAACAAGTGTGTGAAGTTTCAATCCATTCCCTTCAGTAGTTATGGAGATACCAGCTTACATGCAAAAACTTAACCAAGAATTTCTAAGTCGAAAAAGGGGCATAATAATGTAAAAAAGCAAATCAGAGTTATGGGACTTGTGCCAATTATCTTAGATAATCACAGAGAACAAGTGTGTGAAGTTTCAATCCATTCCCTTCAGTAGTTATGGAGATACCAGCTTACACGCAAAAACTTAACCAAGAATTTCTAAGTCAAAAAAGGGGCATAATTATGTAAAAAAGCAAATCAGAGTTATGGGACTTGTGCCAATCATCTTAGATAATCACAGAGAACAAGTGTGTGAAGTTTCAATCAATTCCCTTCAGTAGTTATGGAGATACCAGCTTACATACAAAAACTTAACCAAGAATTTCTAAGTCGAAAAAGGGGCATAATTATGTAAAAAACGCAAACCAGAGTTATGGGACTTGTGCCAATCATCTTAGATAATCACAGAGAACAAGTGTGTGAAGTTTCAATCCATTCCCTTCAGTAGTTATGGAGATACCAGCTTACATACAAAAACTTAACCAAGAATTTCTAAGTCGAAAAAGGTGCATAATTATGAAAAAAAGCAAATCAGAGTTATGGGACTTGTGCCAATCATCTTAGATAATCACAGAGAACAAGTGTGTGAAGTTTCAATCCATTCCCTTCAGTAGTTATGGAGATACCAGCTTACACGCAAAAACTTAACCAAGAATTTCTAAGTCGAAAAAGGGGCATAATTATGAAAAAAAGCAAATCAGAGTTATGGGACTTGTGCCAATCATCTTAGATAATCACAGAGAACAAGTGTGTGAAGTTTCAATCCATTCCCTTCAGTAGTTATGGAGATACCAGCTTACATACAAAAACTTAACCACAGGGACGCCGACGCCGACGCCGACAAATGGGTGACTGCATTAGCTCGATTATTCTGCGAATAGTCGAGCTAAAAATGAAAATTTCAATAATTTGACCTTCAAAGTCCAGGTCATTTATGAGTGAAGGTCAAAAAAAAAAGTCGAGCTAAAAATGGTGATAGAGTTAAAAACCTTGGTATATATCATGTGGTTGATGACAAGGAACATTATTTGAAGATGATCCCATATGAAATAAAGAAGTTTAAGTAAGCAATAACATTTTTAAAGGAAAATTTCAAGTTCAATGGGAGATAATTCTGGAAATATTGCTTCTAGAGTTAAGAATTTTGTCACATAAGGTATGGCTGATGATAAGGAATGTATAATGAAAGTTTGATGTTGAAACCTTAAGAAATTAAGAAGTTATGGTAAAAATACTTCATTGCACAAAAAACTTTAATCTGAAATCTTGACACCGGCACCAAAGCCAGAGTGAGTAGGAAAGCTTTCAATATCCTTCACATAGTCCCATAGTCCAGCTAAAAATATATATATTAGGGTTTGATTTTCCAAGATGCAAAAAACATCAAAATTGTCTGGATGTTTAAAAAAAAAATTTAAAACAAGAGGGCCATGATGGCCCTGAAGTCTCTCACCTGTATAAAGCCCCCCACCCCAGCGGGACCAGTTTAAGCCCCAAGGCATTTAATTTGAACAAACTTGGTAGACACCCATTAGAAGATGTTTCATGCTAAATAATATCTAAGCTCTAGGTCTTTGAATTTTTTAAAAGAAGATGTTAAGTTTTTATTACACACGTATAATGAAAAACAATGACCCCCCCCCCCCACCGGCCGGTCTAATTTTTACCCCAGGGTTTTTATTGAACAAACTTGGTAGACACTCACTCAATGGTGTTTCATGATTTGTATCTAAACTCTAGCTCTTTAGGTTTTTTAAAAGAGAATTTTTACTATACACATATAATAGGAAAATCAATGACATCCCCCCCCCCCCCTGGCAGGACCAATTTTCACCCCAGGGCTTTTATTTGACCAAACTTTGTAGACACTCACTAAAAGATGTTTCATGTTTAATATCTAAACTCTAGCTATTTGTGTTTTTTCAAAGAAGATTTTTTAAGTTTTTGCTATACATATATAAGGAAAATCAATGACCCCCGGGGCGGGGCCAATCTTGACCCCAGGGCTCTTATTTGAACAAACTTGGTAGACACCCATTAGAACATGTTTCATGCTAAATATCTTAGCTCTAGGTCTTTGGGTTCTTTAAAAGAAGATTTTTTTAAGTTTTTACTATATGCATATAGGGAAAATCAATGACCCCTTGGGGCGGTGCCAATTTTGACCCCAGGGCTTTTATTTGAACAAATTTGGTAGATACTCATTAGAACATGGTTCATGCTAAATATCTTAGCTCTAGCTCTTAAATAAATTCTTTAAAAAAAGATTTTATTTAAGTTTTTACAATATGCAAATTTGGAAAATCAATGTCTCCCTGGGGCAGGCCAATTTTGACCCCAGGGCTTTTATTTGAACAAACTTGGTAGACACTCACTAGAAGATGTTTCATGCCAAATATCTTAACTCTAGCTCTTTGGGTTTTTTAAAAGAAGATATTTAAAGTTTTTTCTTTCGGTTGCCATGGCAACCAGAGTTCTGCATGAAATTAAATTCTTTGAACAATTTTTAATGGTGACCACCAAAGGAACATTCCTGTGAAGTTTGGATGAAATTGGCTTAGAGGTTTATGAGGAGATGTCATTTAATGAGCTAAAAATAAGTCACAAAATCAATCTTACCCTCGCAATCACAACATTCCAGGAAGTTGGAGTGGAGATTTAATTTGACCCCTGAGGCAGGAATACGCTGATTTGAATAGTCCACATAGTCTGGATATTGTTTATCTATACCATTAACACCAGATATAACCACATTCTCCTTACCATAGGATATATCTTTAATGACACAGAATGTCTGAAAGTAATGAATTATTTACATTTTAGTAGAGTTTCAAGTCACATTGATACTGTTAAAGTCATTAGACAACTTTAAAGCTTAATTGTATTTATTTAGACCACAGACGCCCTCCTATCACTATTTCAGGCACAAGCAGGCACCCGAATAGAATCACCTTCCCCACATATCTTAGCACAAAAGTTGTCTGACAGGGAATTTTTTTTTAAATAATCAAGCCCATAATGGTGAAGGAAAAGTCAGCAACCTTAACTTTTTGATCAAGGAGGACCTAGTAACCATGAGATCGATCTAAGAACATAGATTTTCAATTTCCTTTTCATTACTGCTTTCATGTAAAAATTTAGCAGAGGCTGTAATTTTGTGTCCTTTTGCATGCATATTAAATGGTTTACATGAGAACAATAAAGTTATGAGTAATAATTCCCAACCTTGGTGAGATCCCAGCAGGCACTCGACGTTGTTTCAACGTTGAAACAACGTTGAAATATGGTCGTGACGTTGTTCAACCAATATTCAACTATGGACGACCATACGGATATATTGCCAATGTATATACAACGTTGATTCAACGTTGTTTATGGTCGAAGTTTTACATTTAGTTTAATCATTATATAAACTTTTATACCACTAATTTTGTGTTATTATTCCTTTATTGAATTAGTGGTAAGTCTGTAAGTGATTTTTGTCAGGAAAATTTGCGTTACAATCTTTTTCCGTATATTCGGAATTAGCGCTTAAACAAATAAAGTTGGAAATAATTTTTCACTTTCTATTAACGCTTTAAATATTAGTTAATGTGTTTAGTTGTTTGTTGTTATATTTTTTAGTTCTTTATGAATAAAATTAATTAATAAATTGATATTAGTCAAAACCCCGTTTATAAAATAATGCTGGTCAGGGGAAGTAATTGTTGCAGTCTATGATTTTGTTTGTTTGTCTATGATAATCGTTCGTGCAAATGGTGGCGCTGTTTGGAAAATTTGAAAACAACACGATTGGAAATTTATTTGGATTTCGAAGGTATTACCGTAATGTTTTACTTTAGTTTCTGATTATTTTCTAAAATATTATTATTTATTCTTAAAATTCTACTTTAATTTACTTTATGAAATAAATGAGAGATGAAAACACATGATTGAGTTGATTTGACACGTTTTCGCGACCTAATTGAATGATTTGGGTTCGGTGGGCCTTGTAAGCATGAAGTTATTGATGTCCTTGGCAATTTATGATTTTACAATTCTTGTCTTTCTTTAATTTATTTTTCATATTATTAATCATTTGTCTGTACTATATCCTAATTAGAATTTAATCAATTATAAAATTGAAACCTATAAAGTAGTTCGGCTCACATAATTTACGCCCCAAGACGATTCGTCAATATATATAACTATGTTTATATTTTAGTTATAGTATAATACAGTGTTAATTAGTTTGAAAAAATACATTACTTATTAAGTTAAATAACAAATTTGAGTGTTAAACTTTAAAGTTTAATAGTCGTAAATATAGGGAATAATATATCTATTTCTATTTTATTATATATTATTTTATATTCTAGATCCTGGTCCTGGCTGAAATAGAGTAATTTGCAGCTGTAGCCTGTATACCATACATTCAACATGAAAAGGACTGTCAGGTTTGTTAAATTTAAATTAATTCTTATCAATTTATATATTTGAATTTCTTTACAATACAAAGTATAAATTTTTCAACTACTGGATATTTATCTTGTCTTAAACTATATTATTTTCGGAATATTTCTGTAACATTATTAATATAAAATTTACATGTTTGTTGATTTCAGGATGCTGCATAAAATGGTCTTAGCTAAAGCCTAGAATGTTAATTTCTTGGGAATATGCTGCAAGAAACTGATGGGGAGCAGTTTTTCTTACCAATCATAGGTGAGACTTTTAAATAGCTTCTTTTTAAAAAGATTCTGTTGTCTTATATACAGTACATTGTATTTGCTGTCAATATGAAACTTAGCTATGTTCAATTTCTATGCTGTTTTATGATGTTAATCTTAGAGATAAGCATTTTAAGATAAAAACAAATCACTAAGTTGAGTAATCACTAACTTGAGTAATTATATGTATAATTTGAGATTGACCAAGTCACTTAAAATTAACTACAAACTTCTTATTTTTATTTTGCAGAAGCAGTAAGATAGAGCCAAAGAAGTACTCAAACACTTGACATACCCAGAAAGATCAAGAAGAAAAGATTGGAACAGATTGTAGCTTAATTGTTAAAACTATTAAAGTGAATTTAAGCTGCACTTGAACTGTATTTTTGAAATAAAATATCTGAAGTATTTAATATTGTCTTGATATTTTGTTAAACTTGGTTACTTTGCTTTATATCCAAAAATTAAAGTATGGTGGGTTTTCAATGTTGAAATGACATTGAAACTTCAACATTGTGCCAACGTTGAAGGTGCAACGTTGTATCAACGTTGAAATTTCAACGTTGTTTCAACTTTCAAATCCGAATATAAATCCAACCTTATTTCAACGTTGAAATCTGACCATAATTCAACGTTGAAACAACTATGATGTGCCTGCTGGGATGAAATTTTAAAGGTAAGAGTAGCAAGTTCTGACCTTGACAAAGGGATAATAATAAAGTTAAGAGTAGTTCTGACCTTGACAAAGTGACAGTAATAAAGGTAAGAGTAGGAAGTTCTAACCTTGGAAAAGTGATAATAATAAAGGTAAGGGTAGGAAGTTCTGACCTTGACAAAGTGATAATAATACAGGTAAGAGTAGGAAGTTCTGACCTTGAAAAAGTGATAATAATAAAGGTAAGAGTAGGATGTTCTGACCTTGACAAAGGGATAATACTAAAGGTAAGGGTAGGATGTTCTGACCTTGACAAAGGGATAATACTAAAGGTAAGAGTAGGATGTTCTGACCTTGACAAAGGGATAATAATAAAGGTAAGAGTAGGATGTTCTGACCTTGACAGCGGGATAATACTAAAGGTAAGATTACGAAGTTCTGATCTTGACAGTGATTATAATAAAGGTAAGGGTAGGAAGTTCTGACCTTGTCAAAGTGATAATAATGAAGGTAATGGTAAGAAGTTCTGGCCTCGACAAAGTGATAATGATAAAGGTAAGTAAGAGTAGGAAGTTCTTACCTTGACAAATTGATAATAATAAAGGTAAGAGTAGGAAGTTCTGACCTTGACAAAGTGATAATAATACAGGTAAGAGTAGGAAGTTCTGACCTTGACAAAGTGATAATAATAAAGGTAAGAGTAGGATGTTCTGACCTTGACAAAGGGATAATACTAAAGGTAAGATTACGAAGTTATGATCTTGACAAAGTGATAATAATAAAGGTAAGTGTAGGAAGTTCTGACCTTGACAAAGTGATTATAATAAAGGTAGAGTACTTAGTTCTAACGTTGACAAAGTGATAATAATGAAGGTAAGAGTAGGAAGTTCTGACCTTGACAAAGTGATAATAATAAAGGTAAGGGTATGAAGTTCTGACCTTGTCAAAGTGATAATAATGAAGGTAAGAGTAAGAAGTTCTGACCTTGATAAAGTGATAATAATAAAGGTAAGTAAGAGTAGGAAGTTCATACCTTGACAAAGTGATGATAATAAAGGAAAGGGTATGAAGTTCTGACCTTGATAAAGTGATAATAATAAAGGTAAGAGTAGGAAGTTCTGACCTTGACAAAGTGATAATAATACAGGTAAGAGTAGGAAGTTCTGACCTTGACAAAGTGATAATAATAAAGGTAATGGTAAGAAGTTCTGGCCTCGACAAAGTGATAATAATAAAGGTAACTAAGAGTAGGAAGTTCTTACCTTGACAAAGTGATAATAATACAGGTAAGAGTAGGAAGTTCTGACCTTGACAAAGTGATAATAATACAGGTAAGAGTAGGAAGTTCTGACCTTGACAAAGTGATAATAATAAAGGTAATGGTAAGAAGTTCTGGCCTCGACAAAGTGATAATAATAAAGGTAAGTAAGAGTAGGAAGTTCTTACCTTGACAACTTGATAATAATAAAGGTAACAGTAGGAAGTTCTGACCTTGACAAAGTGATACTAATAAAGGTAAAAGAAGGAAGTCTGACCTTGACAAAGTGATAATAATAAAGGTAAGAGTAGGATGTTCTGACCTTGACAAAGGGATAATAATAAAGGTAAGAGTAGGAAGTTCTGACCTTGACAAAGTGATAATAATACAGGTAAGAGTAGGAAGTTCTGACCTTGACAAAGTGATAATAATAAAGGTAATGGTAAGAAGTTCTGGCCTCGACAAAGTGATAATAATAAAGGTAAGTAAGAGTAGGAAGTTCTTACCTTGACAACTAGATAATAATAAAGGTAACAGTAGGAAGTTCTGACCTTGACAAAGTGATACTAATAAAGGTAAAAGTAGGAAGTCTGACCATGACAAAGTGATAATAATACAGGTAAGAGCAGGAAGTTCTGACCTTGACAAAGTGATAATAATAAAGGTAAGAGTAGGATGTTCTGACCTTGACAAAGGGATAATACTAAAGGTAAGATGACGAAGTTATGATCTTGACAAAGTGATAATAATAAAGGTAAGTGTAGGAAGTTCTGACCTTGACAAAGTGATAATAATAAAGGTAGAGTACTTAGTTCTAACGTTGACAAAGTGATAATAATGAAGGTAAGAGTAGGAAGTTCTGACCTTGACAAAGTGATAATAATAAAGATAAGGGTATGAAGTTCTGACCTTGTCAAAGTGATAATAATGAAGGTAAGAGTAAGAAGTTCTGACCTTGATAAAGTGATAATAATAAAGGTAAGTAAGAGTAGGAAGTTCATACCTTGACAAAGTGATAATAATAAAGGTAAGGGTATGAAGTTCTGACCTTGATAAAGTGATAATAATAAAGGTAAGAGTAGGAAGTCTGACCTTGACAAAGTGATAATAATACAGGTAAGAGTAGGAAGTTCTGACCTTGACAAAGTGATAATAATAAAGGTAAGAGTAGGATGTTCTGACCTTGGCAAAGGGATAATACTTAAGGTAAGATTATAAAGTTATGATCTTGACAAAGTTATAATAAATAAGGTAAGTGTAGGAAGTTCTGACTTTGACAAAGTGATAATAATAAAGGTAGAGTACTTAGTTCTAATGTTGACAAAGTGATAATAATGAAGGTAAGAGTAGGAAGTTCTGACCTTGACAACTTGATAATACTAAAGGTAAGATTACGAAGTTCTGACCTTGTCAAAGTGATAATAATGAAGGTAAGAGTAAGAAGTTCTGACCTTGATAAAGTGATAATAATAAAGGTAAGTAAGAGTAGGAAATTCATACCTTGACAAAGTGATAATAATAAAGGTAAGGGTATGAAGTTCTGACCTTGATAAAGTGATAATAATAAAGGTAAAAGTAGGAAGTTCTGACCTTGACAAAGTGATAATAATACAGGTAAGAGTAGGAAGTTCTGACCTTGACAAAGTGATAATAATAAAGGTAAGAGTAGGAAGTTCTGACTTTGACAGGAATAAATTCATGATGTACATACAGTTCTGCATCACAACAAGAATTGTCCATACATAGACCACTCTTCGTAATTTCAAGGAATGAATCCCCTCATCTAGATTACATAAACTTCTCCCACATGGTGCACAATAAAACACAACCCGTCTTCCATATGGCTTTGTCTTTGCTACATGCCTGTATGATAAATAAAATGGTAAAATATTTACACAAGTTTTATAACTAAAAAAAAGAAATGTGTCCATAGGACACGGATGCCCCCACACGCCACTGTTCTGTCAATCTTATGACTCTAGGTCAAATATTTTTTGGACTACAAGTGCCACAAGCTGAAAACTAACTAGAAATGTGTCCATAGGACACGGATGCCCCCACACGCCACTGTTCTGTCAATCTTATGACTCTAGGTAAAATATTTTTTGGACTACATGTGCCACAAGTTGAAAACTAAAAATCAACAGGGCCATAATTCTGTTAAATTTTGTCGCAGCGTAAATTCCTTCCTTTACTACCATCTACACATTAAGGTTGTTCATCCCTGTAAGTTTAAGCAAAAATCTGCCATCCGGTTTAAGAGGAGTTGCGTTTTAAAAAAATTTCAACATAATATATAGTGAAACTAGAAATGTGTCCATAGGACACGGGTGCCCCCACCGCGCCACTGTTCTGTCAATCTTTTTACTAAGTCAAGGGAAATAACTCTACAAATACTGGATAAATCCACAAAGCGAAACCCCAGGTGCAAATCTAAAATATGGTGAGCAACCTGCCCATAAGGTTTAATGACTATGTCAAATCCTTTTTGAGAAACTTGCGACACAAGTTGAAAATAGCAAAAATTTTCTAAGTGTAGGGCAATAACTCTAAAAATACTAAATAAATCCAGACAAAATACCTGGTGCACAACTGCACATGCTGATCAATATTCCTGTAAAGTTACATGACTCTAGGTCAAATACTTTTTGAGTTATGTGCGACACAAGTTGAAAATTGCAAAATTTTACTAAGTCAAGGGCAATAACTCGGAAAATACTAAAAATATCCAGACGAAAATACCCAGGTGCACAACTACACATGCTGATCAACATTCCTGTAAAGTTTCATGACTCTAGGTCAAATACTTTTTGAGTTACGTGCGACACAAGTTGAAAATTGCAAAATTTTACTAAGTCAAGGGCAATAACTCTGAAAATACTAAGAATATCCAGACGAAAATACCCAGGTGCACAACTGCACATGCTGATCAACATTCCTGTAAAGTTTCATGACTCTAGGTCAAATACTTTTTGAGTTACATGCGACACAAGTTGAAAATTGCAAAATTTTACTAAGTCAAGGGCAATAACTCTGAAAATACTAAAAATATCCAGACGAAAATACCCAGGTGCACAACTACACATGCTGATCAACATTCCTGTAAACTTTCATGACTCTAGGTCAAATACATTATGAGTTATATGCGACACAAAAGTGAACGGACGGACGGACGGAAGGACGGACGGACGGACGGACAAGTTCAACGCTTTATGCTCCCACATTGTGGAAGCATAATAAGCATCTTTTAAGGCAATAAAAGTTGAGGAAGTTCCAACAATCCATTATATCAAACAGCCTCCTGTAAGCTAACAGGCTGTTTCTAGATACACACAGTAACTTATAACTAGAACTCCGCGAGTCGGATGTGTCGCCTTGTGAACAATATAGTTTAGGAGAAATGGCCAGGACAAAAGTGAAATTTGAAAATCAATGAAGGGCAATAACTCAAAAAATATGAAATGCAGAGCAGCAGTTTCTGTGCACTGCACTTCTTATCAATAAGATCTATCATCCAAAATAAAGTATGAAAATTAACGAAGGGCAATAACTCAAAAAATAAGAAATGCAGAGTACCAGTTCTTGTGCACTGCACTTCTTCTTAATGAGATCTATCATCCTATGAAGTTTCAAGTCCATAGATTATATACTTAGGGAGAAATGGCCCGGACAAAAATAAAGTATGAAAATTAAGAAAGGGCAATAACTCAAAAAATAAGAAGTGCAGAGTACCGGTTCTTAAGCACTGCACTTCGGGTCATTGTAAGAAGTATGCATACCAAGTTTGAAGTCAATCTGACTTATAATGACTGACTTATGCTCCGGAGAAGCTTAAGGGGATGCCGACGCCAACACCGACAACGACGCCGACACCGCCGACAAAAGTAACCCCTATATGTCGCCTTTTTCAAGGCGACACAAAAACTTCAATTATTCATCCCAATTATGTTAATTGACAGATAATTCACTCAAAATGACCACAGCAGAAGGTCACCTAGATAAGTTTAACAAGAACATTGTCCTGTATTGCAGTATTTGTTGTTAATACCAACAAGCAGTCTGAAGGACAGCTTTATCCCCTGCCATAGTACAATTTTAACCTTTGACCATCCTCTAAGTATGACCTTGAAAGAAGAAACCTGGTTTTTGAACTTTGTGCATCATCTCATAATGGTGATCACCTTTTCAAAGTGATTAAAAAAAAACACACTACTTTTTAAGTAGTTTAAATGTTATGGAGCTGAAATGAAAATGTTCTGGACTGATGTACTGACAGTGTCAATCCCTATAATTCCGTCCCAACTACGTGGAAGGGGATTAGAAGTTAAAATAAAACTACATTATAATTTTATAAATAAAGCATTCAAATTTTTCAGAATAAGCAGGTGAATGGAAAAAAGTTTTAAGTTGTCATTTACCTTTCCCATCCATAAAACAGTGGTATAAGTAATGGATTATTCCCCTTCAATTTTTTGGGATCATCATTTTTGTTATTCAAACATTTTCTGCTACATACATGTTTCACTGAAATAAAGAAGACAATATTATTTGGCACAACTTTAAGATAAGAGAATTTTTCGAGACAACCACCCCAGACCAGTAGATTTGAGATATCGATGGGTTTCCTTTTTGTATTTTCTGATCGCAAGATCAGTAAATACATAGCTAACATCCACGGTCTAACACAAATTTTCCTAACAGACCTAACAACGCAAAGTAGTTCTCACTCAGAACTGCTTAAAAACCAGCAATTTAAAATAAAGAATCATTTTTTAATGTATGCATTTAACGAATTACAGTGCATTAAAAGTTTAGAGTAGTCAATAGAAATATGAGGTTACAATCACAAATTTCGCGGATGAATATCTCTTTTACCCCATGAAAAATGTTCGGCTATTTCCGTAAAGCTTAATCAATGAAAATGCTATTTTTGGCTATGTCGATTACCGAATACTCCAGAGCGTAGTACACATAAATCTGACTGTCGAGTAGTGGAATATATACATGTCGTACTGTTTTGGCGAGAAGATTTTCGCTAAATTATTTTCATCAGTGTTAAACAACAGGTTTATAGTGAAGAAAATACTTCGAAATTAGTAAGGATTACAAACACGGAATGGAAATTCTCAATTTAGAATTACAATGTATTTGTTATTATTCAAGCTACATATGTATTACTTCACCGTGGTGCAGAGGTAGCGCGCTTGTTTAGGGTGTGAGAGGCCCAAGGTTCAAATCCTAGTCGAGGCAACATTTTTTTTTGAAGTGTCTTTTTTAAGGAATTAGCCACGATATGCAAGTTGGCTGTCATAAAAAATGTAAATGATTTTTTGATGCAACTCTAGTCATGCAAAATTCCATATGTATCAATCTCAAACTGTTATAGACGCAGTCGCTGCGTAAGATTAATTATAGTATATAAAAATAAACTTATATAGGAAAATACATACAGATAGTCAGTATGATTTAGATTGCAAAGATCAGAAAATACCACAGAGGTTGCAGCCCTTTGATTGTTTATGTATTCTATTGTCGGCAAATTTCATTTTCCAACTGAATTCTTTTGATTTGACCATTATATGAAATTTTTTATCTAAAAATAAAATATGAGCCGCGTCATGACAAAACTAACATAGTGGGTTTGCCACCAGCCTGGATCAAGACCAGTCAGCGCATCTGCGCAATGCGCAGTCTGATCAGGATCCATGCTGTTCGCTATCAGTTTCTCTACTTGTTAAAAGGTTTAAAAGCGAACAGCATGGATCCTGATCAGACTGCGCGGATGCGCAGGCTGGTCTGGATCCATGCTGTTCGCAAACCCATTCTGTTGGTTTTGTCGTGACACGGCTCAAATTTAACCTTTAGGAAAGCTGACAGCCACTTTAAACTGGTGGTACAATGTATATGTTGTAAACAGCTGCTAGCACTAATGGAGTTAAAAATGCCTATACAGTTTCCCACTATGAATACAGCTTTAAATTTCTTTTTATATGTGCATAATATCATAATACCCAATAATTGTCAGTCATTTGAGCATTTATATACTATATATTATCTGACTTCCATATTTGTTCATATCATTTCACACAGTGTTATCATTAATGATACTTTATTTAAGAAACCTTATTCCCCTATGATTAGAAACCAAATAAGATAATATGAAAAACTCAGATGGCTAATGTATTAAATATCACTCAATTGTGCTTATAGCCATAAAAGAGAATGAATAAGTTGTATAAGAGCTATTGGATGAATAAATTTACCATTTTCTATTGTTTCTCCTAGCCACATATTAAAGTAGCCATGAATGAGTGTTAGAACAAACAAATAGAGAGATGTGTAGCAAAAAACACATGTTATATGATGCTATTTTTGTTATCATTATTGTTCTTAAAGTCATACAAATGAATTTTTAAGCCAATAAATTTGTGTGAAATATAAAAATACTGTTGTCTTGTAAGCCATAAACTTTCTATATCATGTTCAAATATATGAAAATATATTGTCTAAGCCAAATGAACTAGTGTATTATTAGTGTATACAGACAGACAAAACAGCATACATACAGACACAGACAAAGGGAAGATAGATACAACATACCAACAGTTCCAGCATCTTCTGATGGAGCAAGTCGTTCTTGTAATACTGTTGTCATATATTTACTGTTCTTACTAGTATTACCACCACTACATATAGTAGATGTTGTAAACTTATCTGTAAAGAATCATGAAACATAATAAATGAGGCAAAACAAAAAACAATTTTGTTTGTGACATTTGTGCCCTAAAAAACATCCCAACTGACATTGGCAATGTGCTGTAATGAACCCTAGGCCTTTATCCTGGAGTATATATTATACAGATACAGAATAAACCTTATATATAGTCACGGCTTAATCAAATGGTTAATTGGTGGATCTAAAATTCATTTATTTGACTTTTCTGCTTGCTAAATATCAATAAAAGAAGATTTTTCTTTTGACAAGAGGCAACTTTTTTTACACGAAAGATGCCAAAAGATTAAGATGTCAGCCTCTAAACATAGCAACCTAGAGTCTGAGAGCTACTGGGGTTGTCACCATGCTTAAATATTTAGAACAGTACTGGGGACTTTCAGAAAGAAGATTTATTAGCTGTTCAATATTCCCTTTCATCACAAAAATTAATCTTATGTCAAAGTGTTACCTTGAGACTGCACTTTCAGGAAGGGTTTCTTATCCTCAGCCCCGCCTTTATCTTTCTTTATTTTGATCCATGGAGCCTCCCATATCTGACCAGTGTTTAGTGTTGACCCCTGTGTTGTACTCTTCTTAGCTACAGACTTCTTCTTATCTGCTTTAGCTGGTGAATCTAAAATACATTCAATGATAATATATACATGGCACTGTTTGTTCATATATAAGCATTACTTACGAGCACAAGTCATTTTTATTTTACAGAAACACAAACATGTCTATACGGACCCCTCTTGAAAATATATTAAATGTGGTTTAAGTTGATATGTGGTCTCTGAAATTATTAATGCACAAATCTGATCAAAACATGAACAAAGATGTTGCCTGTGTCTAGACTGACATGTTTTCTTATCTAGTCTTATCTAAAGAAGGTCCTTAGCTCAACTGTAGTTAAGGTAAATGTAGGAGAAAAAAATACAGAAATATCAATTGTTGTTTCGTGTATATTCTACAACTGGTTTTTTTGGCCCTGCTACAGTCAGGTTATGTCTCTTGACTTTACCAGCATTTCTGTTTGCTTCTGCATTGGCCTGTAAACATATTACACTTCTCTTAGACTACTACACATATGATAAAAAATTTTAACCCTCAACTGCTGTTACTGCATAATGTATTTGCCCTGCTTTGAGCTTGGAACAGTTCATTTGATGTTTAAAATATTACAGTATCAAAATACAAACATGGAGCTACCAACAGTATAAAGGCTGGTAAGATTGCAGTGTCTGACTCTATAGTGGCAAAAGCTAATCACATTTGGTTCCAGCAGGTTAAGAGTTAACATATTCTTACATCTGTTAATCAGTTTGATACAAAAGAAATAAATAATTTAAAATTTCTGAATCTTCATATCTTTGATTTAAAACATCGTGTTATACTGTTACATTTGTTTCATTTTTATATCATGACATTAATAAGGCTGCAAAAACAAAAGATGACTTTAACCGTACAAAATCAGCAATTTCCATTCATTAATATGTATTCAAGATTTCAAATGAGAATAGATATTCCACTTTCATAATATATGATTAGAAAAATGAGGCAAAGTTTCAAACTCACAGAAAAGCTTTCCATTTTCATTCTGCTGCAGTCCCTTACTACTTTCAACATTTTTATATTCTAACTAACTTTCAGGCAAGAGCCGTCAAGATGAAAGCCATAAACATGAATTGGTTTTAAATATATATCTGAAACCAAAATAAATACCAGTGCGGTATAAAGAGATTCTAATCTTGTGGATCCCCTGTATATCATCCATTCACTACGTTTATCATACGGGAAAAACATCAGCACAAGCCTCGCATCCACTTCATCCACCTTGGCTGTCCACCATTTACCCTTCCCCTCTGTCTTCGCTGTCTGACCCTTGTGTAGACGTACCATTGGTCTCTGTTATATCAAATATATCAAATACATATCTTACTTAAAACATGATGAGACTCACAGTGCCGACAAATTTCCTCACATGTAATTCAACAAAACATAAGAAACATACCTTCAATAAATAATAAAATTTTTAAAGTTAAAGAAAATCAGAGTCACTGAGGTGAAATATCATATCATATCACAAAAAGAGTTTTTTTCGATTTGATTTTGGTATTATGGCATCACCAACATAGTTTAGGTTACATGGAGCCAAATCAGGAAAACTGATTTTGGCTAATCTCAAGTGTTACAAATTAAGCAACACCAGTGCTCCAAACCATCTCACCTGCTGAAGCTTTCAGAGATGCATAAGACTCAAATAATTTGAACCCATTCAGTCATCTCTTACCATCATGCATGGATAAACTGTGACAGCCTGCAAATTCTAATGCCTCAACTGTAAAGGCCTCAACTGTAAAACCCCTCAGCTACTAAAGGCAACCCCTAAGCAATAAGGGGCACAGAAAGATGCAATAATGAATTATGATTAAATACTATAATTTGTAGATAACTCAAAAAATATTGCTGTCATTCAAGAAAATTCTTTCTTTTTTTTGTGACACAAAATGAACAGAAGATCATTGCAGGCTGTCAAGTGGTCTCACACCAGAAAGTAGGAAAAAAGTAGGAACATTTTTTGCCAAAAAGTAGGAAAATAGTAGGAAAAAAAAGAAACATTTACCAACAAAAGGGCTCAGGGTCGCTCAACTGTATATAGGCCCCCAGAGCGGGGCCAGTTTAAACCCCAGGGCTTTTATTTGAACAAACTTGGAAGACACCCATTAGAAGATGTTTCATGATGTTAAGTTTTTACTACACACATATAATTAAAAAAAAACAATGATCCTCCCCCCCCCCCCCCCCTGGCAGAGCCAATTTTAACCCAAGGGCTTTTATCTGAACAAACTTCGTAGACACTCACTAGAAGATGTTTCATGCTTAATATCTAAACTTTAGCTCTTTGGGTCTTTTCAAAGAAGGTTTTTTTAGTTTTTGCTATACACATATAAGGAAATCAATGACCCCCTGGGGCGGGGCCAATTTTGACCAAAGGACTTTTATTTGAACAAACTTAATAGACACCCATTAGAACATGTTTCATGCTAAATATCTTAGCTCTAGCTCTTTGAGTTCTTAAAAGAAGATTTTTAAGTTTTTACTATATGCATAAAGGGAAAATCAATGATCCCCTGGGGCGGGGCCAATTTTGACCCCAGGGCTTTTATTTGAAGAAACTTGGTAGACACTTACTAGAAGATGTTTCATGCCAAATATCTAAGCTCTAGCTCTTTGGGTTTTTTAAAAGAAGATTTTTAAAGTTGTTTCTTTCAGTTGCCATGGCAACCAGAGTTCTGCATGGAATTAAATTCTTTGAATAATTTTCAAAGGTTACCACCGAAGGAACATTCCTGTGAAGTTTGGATGAAATTGGCTCAGTGGTTTATGAGGAGATGTCATTTAAAGTAAAAGTTACGGACAGACGACAGACGGTTGCAGGAAAAAACACGGTGCATATCCATATCGGTACCCTCTTTGCGAAATCTGCTGAAACGGTACCCTCTTTGTACATGCACAGGTCATTCTCTGCTCAAAACAAACCAGAGATGGATAACAAGCCAGTAAAATTCATTGTAATATGGAAAGGATGTATGACACGTGGAAAAGATGTACACCACGGAACACTAGAATGTTTTATCTATGTGCTGATTTGTCATGTGCCTGTTTTTCATGCACTGCAACTTCACAATAAGCTACAAAATATCAACATGTCTTGCTTCGCCCATCACCTCGACATACTTTTCGGGCTGAAATGAACCTGTGGCTTGATTATATATGCATCATACATATTTAATATGTTCATATACATATCATCTTCGGACAAATGGCAGTACAGTGTCAAAAATAAATGAAAAAGTCATAAAAACACCCTACTTTCGGTTTTGCAGCGGCACGGGCTACCTCTCTTCAGTTGAATTTTTATATCACAGGTACCCTCTAATTTTTTAACACATAGGCACCCTCAAGGCACGACATATGCTTTTATTTGCGTTAATCGTTAAGTATGTAATATTTACATAAAAGTAAGAAATATTACATACCTTACAATTCACGCAAATAAAAGCATATGTCGTGCCTTGAGGGTACCTATGAGTAAAAAAAATGAGAGGGTGTCTGTGATATAAAAATTCAAATGAAGAGAGGTAGCCCGTGCTGCTGCAAAACCGAAAGTAGGGTGTTTTTATGATTTTTGCGACGGACGCGCCCTCAGGCGCGTTCAGAGCTAAGTCATCTACACATGGAATTTCGTTGGCTACACTCGCGCAATGTGTCCTAAACCAATTAACAGCCCAAGAAATAGTACATGAATTTGATCCTTCAAAACTCCCATACTTTGTCTGGATATCTTAATGTCTTCCATATTTAGCCTTTTCAATTTCAAATTAAGTTATCCAAGTTAAAATATGAACGTATATTATTGATAAAAATGTTGTAGTCCCGTAGTATTATTGCGCAATATGCAAATTACTGCTGAAAAGATTTACCGCTGTCGAAAAAGTAGGACAGCAAATTATACTACAATAAAGGTGTAACCTCTGAGTTCCAAGACATTATTAGTAGGAAATAAATATTTCTACATTATACAAAACATTATTATTAACAAATCAAAAGTTTTTCGTGACTAGGATACCTCGCGCATTAATAAAAGAAGAACTATTTCGTGACTCATACCGCGGGTTTAGCTGAATATTCAGCAGTTATTAATATATTAGATACAGTACAATGGCTAGTATAAATATCTATTTTTGAAAATGCATGTAAGACACTTTACCGCCATGTAGTCTTTCATGGTAAGGAAGTTATAATACTAGTTCTACTTCCGATTCTTGTGGTTTGTTTACATATTTTACTAGGTCATGATATGAGTTAACCTTCGCTATACTAAAAATAGATTCTGCTTCACCTGTTCTGATTTTTGGACAGGCGATTAGGAAGTACACATTAAACATGTAATTAATAAACCAGCGGATTGTAATGCAATACTTTTAGAAATGCTATACAATTGTAAGAAGCAAACAAGTTGAAAATGGAATTTAGTGTGAAGTTGAAAAGGACAACTAAACACTGTAGTGCTTAAGTGACATTTAAATTAAAATAAAAACGATGTGCTCTGGCCTCTACATCTTTACCTTGTAAATAAAAAAATCTAAGAAATACACTATTAATTGCTGATGATTTTAACCATTTTTTTTTAATGAGACATATCCAAGAGAAATACAAATACAAATGACTTAAATTTTATTGTCTGTATGCCCACTATGATATAACACGAAGCAATTCTAAATAGCATTCTCAAATGTATAAATTGTATTATGTTTAAAGTTTATTTGCCTGGATTTATTCTAGAAATATTTCGTTGATAGTTTTTTTTCTATTTACATATCATTTCTTAGAATAAATCGATAAGGACACTGATTTACAAGTTTGACCAGAGTTTTTAGGCATAAATTTCATTCTGTATTTAAGTGCTTGAAAGTAGAAAATCTGAATTATATCAATTTGGGACACAAAATATATTGCTCTACAAATCTCGAACTTGTATGGAACAAATTTTCTCTGTTATATATTTTGTGTTTTGTTTTTGTTTTGGTTTTTTTTCTAAAAGAAGCCTTAATTAATGTCTTTCCGGTTGCATGTCCGTCGCATTTAGTGCTGCAGCACTTTGATTACAATTACTTTTGACAATATACTGCCATTTGTCCGAAGATGATATGTAAATGAACATACTAAATATGTATGATGCATATATAATCAAGCCACAGGTTCATTTCAGCCCGAAAAGTATGTCGAGGTGATGGGCGAAGCAAGACATGTCGATTTTTTGTAGCTTATTGTGAAGTTGTAGTACATGAAAAACGGGCACATGACAAATCAGCACATAGATAAAAGATGCTAGTGTTCCGTGGTATACATTTTTTCTACGTGTCATACCTTCTTTCCTTATTATATTGAAATTTTACTGTATTGTTATCCATTGCTGGTTTGTTTTTAGCAGAGAGTGGCCTGTGCATGTGCAAAGAGGGTGCCTTTTCAGCAGAATACGCAAAGAGGGTACCGATATGGATATGCACCGTGAAAAAAGCAATCACAAAAGCTCACCCTGTCACTTTGTGACAGGTGAGCTAAAAACAAGTATATAGCAACATTTCTGCTGTCTTGGTGCCCCACCATGTTTTATCTCAGCCACAAGCAGCACCTTAGTAGAACCACTGCCTTTCTGTGAACTATATAACTGATAGCTTTATTGTATGAAGAATTCAAAATTTACAGCAGGACTCAAACCCACAACTGTGAGGGGCCTGTGGTTCGAAGAGAGAAATTCTTAACTTCTCAGCCAGAGGCCTTTCCAAACAAGACTGTTAACAGAAAAAAGTTTAAACTCTAAGTAAATGTAATTGGTAAATTTAAAAGATAAATAATTCCAGCTATCAATTTACCATATATAACGTAATAGCACTGTTCATCATCCCATCATTATGCCAATACAACAGCAATCCAACATTGGTTGTATGTGTATGAAACATCAAGGGAGGTAACTTGAATTATAAACCCAACAAGAAAGTGCCTGTAACCTGTGTAACAATATTAAGATGTTACTCAGTAACAGTACATAAAACAATTTTATTAATTTTAAATTTTTCATCTTAAAAAAAAAAAGTTTATGAAATTCAAATAAATAATCTAAGAATTGCTTACAATGTGAGTTCCAATGCTTTCATGGGCAAGTATTGAATGTTTCCTTGCTTTGTGCAGGTTGGTTCCCTTAAAGATTTTAGAGTGCACCTGTTAGCTTTTAGGATCCAACAAATCACAATTTAAAATAAACTCTGTATGAACTAAATGAATATTTAATCTCAAAGAAAATTAAGACAAATAAATTAATAATGATTCATTGCAATTATAAACAAGACCTGTCGGAGGACAGTAACACTCGACTATTCGAAAAAGTTGTCAATCTGTTGTTTCAAGGAGTATAATAATGCTTACCTATATGAAAACATAAAATTGTCCAAAGGTACAAAGGCTTTTTATTAACATGTTTTATCGAGTAAATCACTGCTTTATTATTATGAATGCATAAAATTGTCCCAAAAAAGGTACAAACCCTTCAGTAGTTATGGAGATACAAGCTTACAAGCAAAAACTTTACCAAGAATTTCAAAGCCGAAAAATGGGCATTATTATGCAAAAAAGCAAATCTGAGTTATGGGAATTTTGCTAATCATGTCAGATAATCACAGAGAACAAGTGTGTGAAGTTTCAATCCATTCCCTTCAGTAGTTATGGAGATACGAGCTTACACGCAAAAACTTAACCAAGAATTTCTAAGTCGAAAAAGGGGCATAATTATTGTAAAAAAGCAAATCAGAGTTATGGGATTTGTGCCAATCATGTTAGATAATCACAGAAAACAAGAGTGTGAAGTTATAATCCATTCCCTTCAGTAGTTATGGAGATACTTGCTTACACTCAAAAACTTTACCACAAGGACCCCGACAAATAGGCGACTGCATTAGCTCAATTATTCTGCGAAAATACCCTCACCATCCTTAAGACAAAGGCTTATATATAAGTCCATTTACAATTTTTGTCCAGGTGAAAATTTGTACAATTGGTTTGAAGAAAATCCTTTAATGGATATATGATTTACAGAGCTGAACAGAAAGACCATCAATCCTACAGACACCACAAAGTGATTCCAGTATAGCCTCTCAATCCATATACAAGTAATTGGGTTATAACTAGTCATAAGATGTCTGTGGTCTAAGTCATTATATGACATTTGGACATGACCTGACTAAAGTGCGATTGAAACAGAATAATCGGCAATTTTTCATTTTATTTTTATCTAATAGAGGGCCATTCCCCCTTATTCTATTATTGCTGAATGAGCTCTTTTGTTCTGTTAACAGTTAGATTTCCCCTATGTCAATTTCAGTTGTGCCCTCCAACCACCACCGCATATTGATTCCGGTATAATCTTCATCCCCAACATTTATGTGTTTATGGTATATAAGATGTCTCTGATGATATACTCACATTTACTACTTCAGTTTCTTGCTGTACCATCTTAGTATCTTGAAATAATCAGCCTCAGTATCTTCATCCAAGACAAAACATTATGTAAAATCAACAGAAGTAAGAAAAAAATATTAGTAGCATTTACAAACAATATCACTAGCATTTACAAACAATTATTATAATTCCATTTATCTATTTGACTTTACATCACTGCATTCACTCCATGTGCTTCACCTGAAAATACAATCACGAAAAGTTAATATTTTGACAATAATTAATCTACATACATAAAAAAATTTCAGAAGACAAAAAGACACAACCTAAATCTCTTCATTTTGAATGTATTTAAGATGCAAGAACGCTGTCCTTTGCCATTAGTATAATCAGACTGAATCTATATTGATGACACATATACTATTCTTGAAATTAAAAAAAATATATATAATAATGATAAAAATGCCATCAGTGTAAAAGCTGGTTAGGTAAATTATAAAAATTGAATCAGAAAAAAATGTGTTTCAGTTAATTAAAATAAGTTATTCAAATGAAATTTTAAGGCAAATGGGCAAATAATTTTAAAAAATAAATTCATAATACAATAAAACTTTTACATATAATTAATTATGATGTAGCTGATGATAAGGTGCTGAAGTTTGACTTCTTGCATATCAGACAGGATAATCTACTATTTACACCAATGCTCGAAAAGTCAGGTGTCATAATGAATTATCTATATTAGATGCTACTGTAAATGTATGTTTTGAGTGGTGATGTTTCCAGTCATGATGTTTTGAATGGTGATGTTGTCAGTGGTGATGTTTTGAGTGCAATGGTTTGAGTGGTGATGTTATCAATGTTTATGCTTTGAGTGGTTTATGTTTTGAGCCTGATGTTTCGAGTGGTGATGTTGTTAGCGATGATGCTTTGAGTGGTGATGTTTTGAGTGTGATGCTTTGAGTGGTGATGTTTTGAGTGTAATGTTGCCAGTGATGATGCTTTGAGTGATGATACTGTAAACGGTGGCATTAGATATGAAATTTACATATGAAAGGTTTAAAAAAATTAGCCAGAAATATGTGCATGATAAGTGCCACTCAAGTACCTCAATAAGTAACGCAGCTTGTAGTCTGGAAAATTCACAAGTCAAGACTGCTCATATTAAAGGTGTGTTCTTTGTAGTCCTTTACATGTTAAATTTTATGACTTTAAAAAATTTATTATTATAACTTCTTTATTTACTCCAGCATTAATAATCACTATTTTTTGGTTCAAGCTTATTTGCAAAATCAGCAAAAACCTGGTAACATTTTCAATTTTATAACTATTATAATATAAATGACTACTATATCATAATCTTTTTCATTGATCATTTTATCATAATTATCTAAGTTCTTTTCTTATTTTCACTATCATTATTATGATTACAATAATTATTATAATGTTAAACATTATTACAATAGCAACTTTTATCATCATTATTATTTTCATTTCTATTATTATCATCATTATTTTTATGATTATTTTTACAATTATTATTATTATTATTATTATTTATTTTTACAATTATTATTATTATTATTATTATTATTATTATTATAAGTACTTCACTCATACCCTGCTGGTAGCAACCGAATCTACTCAAGCGCCATAAGCAAAACAAGATCAGCCGGCCGTCTGATTACCGTCTACACTACTTTTTTGTCAGTACATTTTTAAAAATCCCCCCCCCCCCCACAAAAAAAAAAAAAATACTGAATGATTTTGTCCAGATTAAAAAATGCTGAAGTATGGAAAAACTATATTACACCTTTATATAAAAGCATAATTATATGTTTATTATGTTGTTATAGCCGCAGCATGTCAAGGTATCAAAATTTTGGGACTGATTTAATGTTGAATAGTTAGATTGTTTACTCAACACTTATATGATGAAAAATATTCTTTAAGGAAAGATAGAAACCAAAAGAATTAAAAGAAAAATCTAGTATTTGCTTTTGTTTTAAGATAATTTTGAGAATGGCACTTTCGTCCACTGCATAATTATACAATATACTATGATCAGGTGTATTACTGTGTAACAGGAATGCTGCTATTTACTTTTAACAACACTCATGCCAAAGCTTTAACAAAGTGCAACGACGGTTTTATACACATTCAGCATCAAACTTTCAACATGACAAAAACTTCTCTGCCTACAATGGCTAGGTTGAAGGTGCTTAAGCAAATTCTGAAGAGTATGGATTTCCAGTGAAAAAAAAACAAACAAACAAAAAACACCTGAAAACAGAAATGCTGTGCTTTTCCAGTGTTTAAACAAGTGAATTTTATTTCCTTTCATTGGTTTAAAAAAGATACAGACATAAGAAGAAATTGTGAACACACTGCACGGGATGGACAACCAGCACTATAATATTATATAACAAAATTCTGAAGGGCTTAATTATGATAATGTTAGTATTTAATGTTATTGAATGTGGTTTACTTTGCATATTTACAGACTTGCAGACATTTAGACAAATACAGGTCTGACTTACTGCCTTTTGAGGCAGGCATTTACAAAAAAAAACCAGAATTGATTTACTCCCTAATGCGTGGCCATTTAGACAAATTCAAGTCTGACTGTCTTTAGAGATAGACATTTAGACAAAATACAAGTCTGACTTACTGTTTTAGAGGCAGACATTCAGACAAAATGTAAGTCTGACTCACTCTCTTTAGAGGCAGACATTTACACAAAATACAGGTCTGAATTACTCTCTTATGAGGCAGACATTTACACAAAATACAGGTCTGACTTTCTTTTGAGGCACACATATAGACAAAATATAAAATTGACTTACACTCTTAAGAGGCAGACATTAAGACAAAATATTGGTCAGAATAATTGTTTTTAAAGGTAGACATTTAGACAAAATATAAGTCTGACTTACTCTTTTAAGGGCAGACATTTAGAGAAAATGCAAGTCTGACTTACTCTCTTTAGAGGCAGACATTTAGACAAAATGCATGTCTGACTTACTCCCTTTCGAGGCAGACATTTACACAAAATACAGGTCTGACTTTCTTTTGAGGCACACTGTTGATATAGACAAAATATAAAATTGACTTACTCTCTTAAGAGGCAGACATTTAGACAAAATATTGGTCAGAATAATTGTTTTTAAAGGTAGACATTTAGACAAAATATAAGTCTGATTTACTCTTTTTAGAGGCAGACATTTAGACAAAATACAAGTCTGACTTACTCCCTTTTGAGGCAGACATTTAAACAAAATACAAGTCTGGCTCCCTGTCTTTAGACAAATACAGATTTGTCTTAAGAGGCAGACATTGAGACAAACTACAGGTCTGACTTACTCTCTTTTGAGGCAGACATTTAGACAAAATATAGAATTGACTTACTCTCTTAAAGGGCAGACATTTAGACAAATACAGGTTTGACTTACCGTCTTTAGAGGCAGACATTTAGAGGAAAACTAGAATTGACTTACTCTCTTATGGGGCAGATATGTAGACAAATACAGGCCTTACTAACTGTCTTTAGAGGCAGAAGACATTAAGACAGAATATGGGTCTGAATTACTCTCTTTTGAAGCATACATTTAGAAAAAAATACAGATCTGACTGTCTTTAAAGGCAGACATTTAGACAAAATACAGGACTCACTATCGTCTGAGGCAGGCATTTAGACAAAATATGAAATTGATGTACTCTCTTAAGAGGCAGACATTTAGACAAAATACAGGTCTGACTTACTGTATTTAAACACAGACATTTAGATTAAATACAGGTCTGATTTACTGTCTTTAGAGGCAGACATTTAGACAAAATAAACATGACTAAATGTCTTAAGGGGCAGACAGTTTGACAAAATAAAGGTGACTAAATGTCTGAAGGGGCAGACATTTTGACAAAACATTGGTCTGACTTACTGTGTATAGAGGCATACAGTTTAACAAAATAAAAAAACCCTTACTTAGAGCCAGACATTTTGACAAATTATAGGTTTGACTTACTCTTTTCAGGGCAGACATTTCAACAAAATACATGAGTGACCCAGTGTCTTTAGAGGCAGACATTTAGACAAAATACAGGTATGACTTATTCTCTTTTGGGGCAAACATTTAGACAAAATATAGAATTGACTTACTTTCTTAAGGGGCAGAAATTTAGAGAAAATACAGGTCTGACTTACTCTCTTAAGAGGCAGACAATTAGACAAAATACAGGTCTGCTGACTTACTGTCTTTTGAGGCAGACATTTAGACAAAATGCAAGTCTGTCTGTCTTTAGAGGCAAACATTTTGACCAACTACAAGTCTGACTTCCTTTAGAAGCAGACTGTCATTTAAACAAACTATAGGTCTGACTTACTCCTTTTAGAGGCAGACATTTAGACAAACTACAGGTCTGACTTACTGTCTTGAGAGAAAAACCATTTTGGCAAATTATAGGTCTGACTTACTGTCTTTAGGGGCAGCCATTTAAACCAAATACAGGTCTGCCTAACTGACTTTAGAGGCAGATATTTAGACAAAACACAGGTCAGGACTGGTTGAAACAAAGGTCATATATCGTTGAAACAAAAGTTAAACAAAGAAGCTGAAAGTGGAACCATGTTACAAAGGTAGCACTGTTTACTGATCATATAAAAAAAATTCATTTATTTACTGAAAAATATTAAAAAATTCCATGACAAAATTGTGGTTGTATTTCAAAATCAATATATGCACAGTTGTCACAATGGCAAATATTTTAAAGCAGATTTTAAAATTCTCAAGGTAAATCAATGACTTTAAACAGTAAGAAAAATCTCAGGTACAAATGCATTTCTGTTTTTATAAATTGAACAATAATTTTTCAAAAAATCATCTTCCCACTCTTTGATAATTCTATGATCAACAGCAACTGTAAAGATCCACTTGAACTTAAAAAATTTACAAAAACTTAAGAATTCAATTTAATTTTAAATTTTCTTAATAAGTAATAATACACAAAGAAATATGTAATAGTTTTTTTTCATTAATCATAGCTGATGAAAAAGCATTGTTTCTGTTTGAATGTACACATTTGATTATGATAAAAATATTTATATGTGAACTCTTAATTTATGCAATGTATATTTTGAAACATAGCTTTACATTTTAATGACAATATTTTCTGTATCAAAAATTAGTAGGCTACATTAGACTTGCCCATTGAAAACAATATTTTTATTACAAATTAATGAAATAGAAGCATATAAAAATTAACAATTTGTTCCATTTGTTAATTTTTTTTGTTAAATACAAT